ATCAACTTGTAATGATTTTACTTCAATTTTATTAAATTCTATGCTGTAAAGGGCATGCAAACACTGCAAACTATTTTGCTTACATATGAATGGAAAATAGTATTTATATGTAACAAAATAGGGTTTATGCCAAGCTAGTGTTTTTCCCATACTGATAAACTTCCGGTGACCTGTTATTGTGAACTTTTTTCCATTTTATACGGTTCCTTTTACAGCATCGATGTTGTAATGTAATTAAAATACATTCAGTTAAAAAAACGTTGCCATTTATTTAGTTGCTCAAGCGTAAAACGAGACAAAAAGTGGTTAACGCGCCCGTCAGAATCGGCAGGCTAGCGCAGAAGCTCCATTGAATATACTGGGGTAAAATAAATGCTCAAATTAAAAGACATGACAGGGGGAAATGTAATTTAATGCAGTGCTTCTTGTACAGTCTGAGACCCACTTTATATCGGATATCACTCTAATTTTTTAAGAAAACAGACTTTAAACGCGCCGGTTTTTGCATTGGCGTTCAATTCGCCGGAAGTGCTTAACTCAGGTTACTGGCAAATTAAAAGTCCTATTAGCATGCTTCGGCATATACCCTTATACTTGTTGTAGCAGCCTTGATTTTTGGACATGGCAATTTTTGAACTCCAGTGAAAAAATTGGTTACGTCACACCCAATGGGGTTCAAATCCAATCCAATCCTGCCTCCAATAGTCAGTGCTAATTTCACCCTACCCTCATGCTTCATCATAACATCACAACTCACAACTCTTTTCACCTCAACGAGCAATCTTGATGTAATTTAGTATCATAGCCCAAAATCTCATCACACCCCTAATATTTACTATGGTTCGATACAGTTTAGCGCGTGAGATCCAATCATTCAAAGGAATCCAACCCAGGCACAATACCTACAGCTAAATACATTTCTGGGGTCTCATGTATCAATGCTGCATACGCACAAAAACTTTGCGCACGCCAGATTTCACGCTCACGTTTGGATTTACTAACGATGAAATGAACGTGTGAATGTGCGTTGGTGCACGCCAACTTCATGTATGGTGTACGTGCATTTCTTGTGTGTGTTTGTTTTATTTCCATTGGCGACTCCTTGAAGCAATTGTGTTAAATTGCACACTACAAAGTATCTTTGAGCCTTGCAATGGCAGATGTATGGGACAGGATCATCCGCATGTCTAGCAGGTATATAAGGTTTCCACACCATGCAGTTGACCAGCCAAACATTAAAGCGCAATTTGCTGCGATCGCCGGTTTTCCCATTTAATCAGAGCGATCGACTGCACGCACGTTGCTATAAAGGCACCATCTGAAGACAAATTTGCATACGTGAATCAGAAACATTTCCATTCAATAAATGTGCAAATAAAATATGATGCTCAAATGCCTTATTGGACGTCAAAATAACATTGTCCTTAGACACTGGCTGGTCACCTGACGTCATGAACTAAATCTAACCTAATATTAACGCCTTATGATGTTGTGTGCCTGCTGGGTAAATATGATACAGAATGGACAAAATCTTTAATGTATGAGGGGTGAAAACAACCCTCCCTAATAGTTTAAAAACATCTAGATTCTGTGGAAATGAAAGACTTGGCAACCCTGGTCCAATGGCTTGTTACAAATTTTCACAACATTTTGACGTCAGACAGATGATCATATTTACACAGGACAGTTAATGACGGCAACTTGGTATTTATCAGCTTGGTCAGGTGAGTTAATGAGGAAGTAGGTAAAATAAGATTACATTTGCCAGACACTTATCCAATGCAGCTTACAGCACGTTTACAGTATTTGAGTTCCCTGGGAATTGGAGTTGCCAGCACCAGAATTTTCAATTTGAGCTACAAAAATGGGCAGTTTAATCGGTAAGATTTATTACTAAAAGAAAGCAAATAAATTTGTTCCTTGATCATTAATTTAATATAAATAAATCTAGTTCTTCTTTAAATTACATAAGTATTTTCCTGATTCCAGTATTTTGCTAATTTCAGTTTTATCTTGAGGCTGGTATCGACATAAATATGCAATTTTCAAAATCGTATATTTTAAAAAATAAGTTAAACATTGATTTGATTTTCCAAACTGTATTTAAGCAAACATCTCAAATATAAAGACACATTTGCAGGTTTAAATAGTTCTATAATGAGTGTTGTCTTTGTTTATGGCGTATTTCGCTTGCGAGTGTTCTATTGTTACTTTTTTGTTTTGTTTGTTTTCTCAGTCTTTTCCAACAACAATGTTAATCCATCGGTCAACATATTCTTCAGTTATGTGTAGGAGAGGAAGCTAATGTCATATGAACCGCTCTATTTAGGCTGGACTTTGACTCTCTGATGCACAAGATAAAAGAATAGGGAACACAAAAATACGCACATCCATTCATTGGAGAGGGTTTATACAGCTACACTAATGCTTCTAAATGGAACTATTTGCGTCTATGGGAAATAACAAGAAAGGTGCTTCCCGATGAGGTTAAATGCATGGCAAATGTTACAGGAGTCAATTCACAATATGGTTAGTCAAATTTTGTTAAACAGTACAGTCAGATTCCATTTAATGCCATTGTATAAAGACTTGATTTAGTAATTTTTTGATGTTTTGCTAGGCTTTTTGTTATTTTGTTATCCTGAAATTGGTTGCTGAAGTTTCTGTTCTTGTTTTAGTAATCTGTGTATTTAAAATGAATCTTGTGTGGTTTAAAGTTCTTGATTTGAGCTGATATGTTTGGCAGATATTTAATAAAGGTATTTACAACCTACTGAATTCACTGTTTTAATAAACTACCTGACAAAAGTCTTGTCGCCTATCCAAGTTTATGGAACAATAAGCAATAACTTGACTTCTAGTTGGTCATGTGGTACCAGAAGTGGCACATAACAAAAGCAAAGGCCTCTAGATCAGTGGTCCTCAATCAATTAATTGGTACCGGGCTGCACAAGAAATCATTAATTATTTCCGTTTTATTTATTATCAAGTCTGAACAATCTATTATTTTGAAAAGTCTTTTATTTTGAAAAGGGACAGTTTTCTCTCACTTACATCTCGGTCACTTGAGCACCCAAGTTTAACTAACAAGCAGCAAAATGAGTAACGAACAGACATCTTCGGAAAGTTCTTTGCTAAGGATAAAAGGCCCAGCCAAGGATCCGTGAACTGCAAAGGAATAGATCTAAAACCCATTTGTCAACAAATCAGGTGAATCCACCATGTCTGTGCAAGAAGATAAACTGATGGAGATCACAAATGACGACGGGCTTTTAGGGGCCGTTAGCATATTTTATCTTTTCTTTTCTTTTCTTTTCTTTTCTTTTCTTTTCTTTTCTTTTCTTTTCTTTTCTTTTCTAGAGTTTGCATAAGTTTGTTGCTTCCAATGAAGGTGTGCGCATGAGCGGCGTGAAGCACCAGAAGCACAGTTGAAAGAATCCAATGAGCGCATCACAAGTCACATAATAAGAACTGACCGATCAGCTTCATACTTTGTATGGAATATACACATTTCGGTAGACTAATTATCTCAGACAAACACAGAACACCCAAACACCCAGTGCTTTGTCATTTTCTCGATAAATAAAACTTGTATCAGAATTACAGCATGTTTTGTCACCTTGTCATCCTCTGAGAAAACGCTCGATGGTCATCTAGTAATCCACTCTGCCATCCACTCTGCAGATCTCTTGCATACCCTCCTATACTGAATGTAACCCCAAACCATCATTTTTCCTTCACCAAACTTGACTGATTTCTCTGAGAATCTTGGGTCCATGCAGGTTCCAACAGGTCTTCTGCAGTATTTGTGATGATTGGAATGCAGTTCGACAGATGATTCATCTGAAAAATCGACCTTCTGCTACTTTTCCAAATAATCAACTAAAAGTCAAATTATTATTTGCTGCTCTTACAACTGGGATTGACGGCAAGACTTTTGTCAGGTGTTGTTTGTTTCATACATTTCTTTTTAATACATTCCTTGGGATTTTCTTTTCTTTTAAATCTGATGTACTCTATAATTTAGATTTCACTTAAATAACAGAAAGATTTTACATTTATTAGGGTTAAATCTAGAGAATATATATATATATATATATATACATATATATATAAGAGCTAAAAATAAAGCCTAAAAATAAGCCTATAAAAGAGCCAAAAATTTAATTTCCCAATTTACTAACACTCATATGGTTCTACATTTGTATACATTTCTTTTTTCCGTTGAAAACAAAATAATATACTCTGAAGAATGTTAGAAAAAAGCATCCATCGGAACCAAAACACTAATGCAAATCAATAGCAGCTGCTTTCCAACATGCTACAGAATATCTTCCTTTGTGTTCATCAACAGAAAGTCAACAAGTTTGGAACAAGTGGAGGATGTGTAAAATATGGTAGAATTTTTGGGTGAACTAGCTGTTTAATAGATATGTAGTTAACCAGATCGTGGTTAATAAACAAACATTGAGTTAATTCACTGTAATGTATGCCATTACCAAACGACATCCCCAAACAGTCTCCATGTGAGTTTACAGCTTAATGGTTTACCTGTGTATAGTTCATTTGAAGTGACACAATCATGGCTGGATGGGCTCCGCTTCCTGCAAAGCCCAATTATTCTGAATCATTTCACTAAAGGGTCCTGATCTTGCCGTTTGCGCTAAGGGCAAATAAGGCAACATGAGACCATATAAATGACATCTTGGTGCATTAAGTACCCATCCCCTTACCTCATATCAGACCAATTCAAGCTCTTAGATACACTAAACACCCATGTAACACCCCTCACACGCCCCCTTTTTTCCCCGCCTACCAAATAAAATATAACTACCATCCAAACACAAACTTCTTCATCATCTTGGTGTATCTTTCCTCATGCAGATTGGTGAGTGTTCAACACTTGACTTTGATTCTGCTACTCTTCCAGGCGAAATAACATTGGGATCCTGTAAAAAAGGGAATATCTGATGTTTATTAGTTGACTACAAATCTACAAAATGGAGCTGTCTGCATCCAGCTATGTATCAATGTTGGTCTACATCTTCACCTTCTTGCTTGGACTTCCCGGCAACCTCCTGGTTCTCTTCGTGTACATCCGGAAGGCTCGAAAACATGGCGCAACTCCAAATGTAGTCTACGCTCTTAACCTGTGCGTGGCAAATCTCGCTCTAGTGTTGTGGATGCCGGTCAAAGTGGCTGAGACGGTGCTCCAAGGTTGGGAGCTTCCAGCTTTGGTTTGTCCCGTTTACAGTTTCTTTCTGTTTTCGTCAGTCTACGGGAGCAGTTTGATCCTCACTGCAGTCGTTGTGGGCCGCTACCTGAGCATTGCATTTCCCATCACTTACAAGATCTACCGCAGGGCACGGACTTCTTGCCTGGTCAGCGCCGTCTTGTGGGCTCTAGTGTTTTTGCACTTGGGTTTTGCTGTTCTTGCTGAAGGAGGAGGACATTTTGTGTCTTTATCAGAGCAGAATGTGTCTGCTTGCTATGAAAACTTCACCAAGGAGCAGTTGGATGTGTTGGTGCCATTGCGCCTGGAGATGGCGCTGCTGCTTTTCCTGCTGCCGCTTGTTTTGTCAGCATTTTGCACGCTGCGTTGCCTTGTCCTTGTTAGACACTCGTCTTTGCCCTCTTGTGGGAAAAAAAGAGTGTTAGCCATTGCCCTCTCCACTTTAATAGTGTTTGTGGTTTGCTATGGACCCTACAATGTCTCCCACATAGTGGGTTTTGTGTTGTACACTAATGTTGAGTGGAGAAGTGAAGCCATGCTTACCAGCTCCTGCAATATCTTTCTTGAACCTGTGGTCATGCTGATGCTTTCTCCGTGGACGCCAAGGGATCTGCTGGACAGATTGTGTCACAGGCGAAGAGACGCTTCACGCAAGTGGTGGGATCAGAATTACAGGGTTTCCAGGAACCCGCAAACAACAACCACACAGGTGGCGTCAATAATAAGCCATAGAGAATCTGAAAAAGCGAGAGCAAACACAACAGACTAGTCAATAATTGTGACCTGATTAGGGTACAGCAAGACACTAATGGAACAAAGACTTTGAACATGGATTTTTATTGTATTTTCTAACTGAGAGAACAGAGATTTGTTTCCCTTTCTTCGAAGAAACCTTTTGAGTGTTGAGAATTTGTGGTCATCATTAAAGATATTGGATGAAAAAGCTCTTATAACTTTATGTTCCTTTAAGAACTTGGACATTTTAGGGTAACAGATGTTACTGTTGACACTGTAAAAAGTAAAAACTTAAACTAATTACCAGTATTGGTGAAGCTACACTGATGCTACTCTACGACCTGGTGGCTAAAGGGGTTAGCATGGTTGCCTCACAATCGCTATAATATGTTATTGTAGAATGTGATCTTGTAAGACGGCAACATGCTGCTTCAGACCATAGCAGATTCACTAAATAAAATGAAGCTATTGTTGAGTTATTCTGCTACTTGCTGGAAAAAGTAGCTATGGAAAAGCTACATTGTATCGTAGCTGAGCTACAGTCAAGTTACTGAAAAAATGGTAGCTGATTTACTTGTAACTAACTTTTTACACCTAAACACTTCGTCCCCTTAGAATTATAAGGTCCTATCTGACATTTTTGTCAAAACTTTACTTTACTTTACTTTATTGACATATTCTTATTAAATGACAACTTATTTACATTATGGGATGTTTTTTTTTATAAGTTGTTTACATTTTAAGACTTTTTATTTAAAAAACAAATGTTACACATACTGTTTACTATATGGATTGCAAAAACTTTATCATTATCTCAAAGCTCATTATCTCAAAAATATTCAGAACGCAGACAGAATCTTAGAATTTCAAGGTGACGACTTTATTATAAATATATTTATTCAGCTTTTAATTTAAATCTAGTCAAACATACATATAAACATACATATAGGTTAAACATACATATAGCGCAACTGCGCTCATGGCGAAACGAGTTCGACTTGCAGTACTTTGTGATCCCAGTCCGCTCTCTACCCCAGGTTTTTCAATAGTATCTGGATGCAGCCTTTATAATGCAAGCTGAGATTGCATCACTCAGTGATGCAATGTCAGACACAATGCACTCAAACGAAGTTAGTGACGTCAAAGATTAACATGTACTCACTATTTACTCTTCTTTAAGAGGTTCTACCTTTTAAAAAACAATTTTCAAGAACACAAAAGAAGATATTTTAAAGAATGTTCAAAACCTGAAACTAATGACATCCATGATAGGAAAAACAAATACCATGGAAGTTACGGGTTTTCCAAATTTTCCAAAATAGCCTCATTTGTCTTCAACAGAGGAAATAAACAGGTTCAATAGTGTCTGGTTGCAGACTTGCACATGCACTCTAATGCACCATTGGTGAACTACTCGTTTAATAAATTTGGGTTGCACATTAAACTTTTCTCTAACTGCTTCTTTGCTTCTGTATTATATGCTTGCTTTGTGTGTGTGCGTCTGTTTGATTTTAACCAAAATATAAGCTATAGTGGGCGTCACGGTGGCGCAGTGGGTAGCACAATCGCCTCACAGCAAGAAGGTCACTGGTTCGAGCCCCAGCTGGGTCAGTTGGCATTTTCTGGGTGGAGTTTGTATGTTCTCCCTGTGTTTGTGTGAATTTCCTCCTGGTGCTCCGGTTCCCCCCACAGTCCAAAGACATGTGGTGTAGGTGAATTGGTTAGGCTAAATTGTTTGTTAGTGTTTGTGTGTGAATAAGAGTTTATGGGTGTTTCCCAGGATTGGATTGCAGATGGAAGAGCATCCACTATGTAAAACATATGCTGGATTAGTTGTCGGTTCATACTGCTGTGGTGACCCCTGATTAATAAAGGGTCTAAGCCAAGAAAAAAATAAAGCAGTGAATGAATGAATAAGCTATAGTAAAAATGTAAAATAGCAACATCTAGTGGTTCTTTTAAACAAAGGAAGATTTTCATGTGACGAGGTTGTATGAAGACTAATACTTTTTAACCATGTACTTAATTTGTAACTGTTCTTATACTGTAATACTGTTGATTCTGCTATAATGTGTTGTGAATGTGCATGCCCATTTAACAGGGGCATTGTGTTGTAAATATTATTAAATTGCTCTCACATTCTCTGGGATTATTTTGCTTTCTTTTTGTGTATGGAATTATTTAAATGGTTAATTAATTGCTAATTGTTGCAACATGAAAATGTAATATTATTAAATATATTTATGTAAAATATATCAAGGGATTTTGTTTGCAGATTCACACAAGATCAATTCGAAGACCATGTCCAGAATTTCTCGATATCCTTAATGTCATTTATCTACTTTCATAAATTTCCAGGCTTTATTCCTAGACCAGCAAATTAAATAAACAAATAAATAAATGGTGCTCTGTTTTCACATTACAAATTACCCCAACAAAAACCAACATAGCGCTGACGGCAATTCGTCACTGTTTTATATTTAGTGGGTAAGAGAATTTAGTACGATTTCATTCATATACAATTTCATTAGGCTACACACATCCCGCAAATGAGGGGTAGGCGGCTTTGGGGTGGGGTTTGAGGGCACACTTAATTTAAAATCGTACTATTTCAAACAAATAAAGTCGTATGCATTCGTACGAATAGGCCACTTTTCTGAAAATAGATAAAAATAGGTTTCCTCGTGCGATCGGGAAGTTTCTGGTTGGTAAAGGCACTTTGAATGAACGATGCGAGAGCTGATAAACACACATGTAATACAATCATGTTTAAAATAAGATGGAAGGCTCAGACGTAGCCTGAAGAGTTTTGGTAAGTAGTAGCAGCCTGTCTTGCTGTCTTGTTTGAAAATGTGTTGGAATACACCTGTTTAAAGCTCGTTATGTAGGCTACCTCGCTCGTAATGTACATGCACTGGAAGAAATGCTCATTGGAATTACTACATTTTTTTAAGGTAAGTGGTTGCATACAATATATATGGGCTAAATTTAAACAAACAACTTGCTAAAAAATTACTAAATGTGTTTGATTAAACTCTGTTTTAAATTGTTTGCAACCAGTTACCATCCTTTTTTTTTTGTAAATGTAATGAATCATTATTTTTCAGTGAGTTCAGCCTGATTGACAACATTTACCATTATTTCACTGAATATATATATATATATATATATATATATATATATATATATATATATATATATATATATATATATATAATATTATATACACACACATGTAATACAATCATGTTTAAAATAAGATGGAAGGCTCAGACATAGCCTGAAGAGTTTTGGTAAGTACTAGCAGCCTGTCTTGCTGTCTTGTTTTCTTGTTTGAAAATGTGTTGGAATACACCCTAAAGTTGTATTGTTAAAGTTGTTGGCATACACCTTATATATATATATATTTAAATATGTATATATATATATATATATATATATATATATATATATATATATATATATATATATATATATATATATATATATTTAAATATTCATCGAAATATATATTTAAGGATGCTTTTTTTTTTTCCTTTATCTCATCCTAAATAAGATACATAAACCTGATTATAAATATCCATGCACGTTATCATTAAAATTCATCCAGTTTCTTTTATATTTTAGATATAGGCCAATTCAATAGTTTTGTGTATTTTAAACAGTATGTTCTTTAATTGCTCTCAGTAGTTTAACCCCAGATGATCAAACAAATGCTGCTGCTTTAAAACCTGTATGGTTTCAGTTAAAAAAGTAACAGCAACTAACTAATATTAACAGTAAGTGAACTAATATTAAGTAACTTTATAAACCTTTTGTTTCTAATGTACTGTCGCTCCTCTTGATTTAAGTGATTTACACTAGTCTTAGATGAGCTAACAATGGTATTATGCTCTCTCTGTGCATGTCTATGTTTTTGTAACATTAGCTATAAGCAAATTAGTAGACTTGAGTGTTGAAACATCATGAAAAAAATAGAAACAAACAGTGGCTCACTCCAAAACATATTTTCATAACATGACAGAATGCAAATCATACTAGTTTGCTGCACCCAAGCGGAGGCCGGACTGTCTTACAGAACTGCAAAGCCATTGATTTTATCAAGACTGATAACAAAGAAATAGTATTTGGTGAGTTCCAAATTCAAATTCTGCTGGCAAATACTGAAACACTTCTGATAATGACAATAAAAAATGTGTGTATTGCAGTTGGTGTCTTGGGAAGAACCTGCAGGACGGAATGTCAGAAGACTGTGTTTGTGAGGCGTTTCTCACAATATACATCATCACGTTCTTAATTGGTTTTCCTGGTACTGTGCTTGCATTGTGCTCATGCATTCGCAAAATTGCCAGCAAACCAATCCCCATTGACTTATTCATGTTGAATCTCGCCATTTCTGACCTCATCTTCCTCTCCTTCCTGCCCTTCAAAATGAAAGAGGCTGCAGATCAGATGATCTGGAACATGCCTCAAATCCTCTGCCAACTCAGTCTCTTCATGTTCTTTCTTCCTTTCTATTCTAGCGTCCTATTCCTGACAGCGATTAGCATTGAGCGCTATGTGTGTGTAGCATTTCCAACCAAGTATAAAAATCCAAAAAGAATAATTTATACAATAATCACATGTGTTGCCATTTGGGTGACTGTTGTGGGATATTCAATACTTCCGTACAAGGTGACATTTACAGATTCTCATGTAGCGGACAACACTACTAAGGTGTCATTTACAGATTCTCTTGTAGCGGACAACACTACTAATCAGCGCACTCTGGTGGCGGAACCTCAGAGATGTTACAGTAAATTTACAAAAGAGCAGCTCAAGGAATTGCTCCCAATTCGGCTGAGTATAGCAGTGTTGTTTTTCTTTCTTCCCCTGCTTATTTGCTGCTTCTTTTATGTCAGTTTCATTCGTATTCTGACAAATTTGCATCTAATCAAACGGCAACGTAAACTCAGAGCTATTGGACTGGTTGTGGGGACGCTTCTTGTTTTCACCACTTGTTTCGCACCCTACAATGTTTCCCATTTAGTGGGCTTTATCAAAAAAGAAAGTCCTGCTTGGCGAATGAAAACTTTAATGCTGAGCACTTTAAACGTATGTTATGACCAGATTATATTTTTCTGTATCTCTAGGGAAATGAGAAAGGCGATCAAGGTTTGTGCAAAGAGCGTTTTTCAGTTTTGTGTCTATTTGAAGCAGTGTGTTGTTACTGCTGTAAACTTGAAAAATGGCTTGACCAAAATGACTTCTAATTAAGTTTATTAATCGTTTATTCTAATGTTTTGTTTCTTCCTATATACTAATTTAATTAAAATTCAACCTACTGTACATTAGTGACCTGAGAACAGGATAAAACAATATAGGAAGGGGGACTATACACCAATTATGTTATGTAAAAAGCAAGTTCCAGGAAGGCAAGTTGTAAACAATTTATTAAAGATATAAAACAACTCACTACATAATATTAAAATGCTGAAAGTTGTAGTCGTCTCTTTGATTTGTTTGATTAAATCAAAGAAATTTTTACCCCCTGCATAGTTTATATATTATCCATTCTCATTTGTTCTGAGTTGTTTTTATTCTTGTATATATTGTACAAAAGCTGAACTGTGTAGAAACTGACTGTAATATACTGTTTTTAGAAATATTTATTTCAGCTAATATCAGCTAAATTCACCTTATGTTTAAGAAATCAATACATTTGATTGTAGTTTTACTGTGTCATTATGTAAATAAGTTATTTTTTACAGGGTTATATCATGATTCAAATTAATAATTTTTGTGTGGTTGTTATTGTCAGGAGCGATGCTGGTGACAAAATCTATGCCAGGTCAATTGTAAAAAACATATATAATAAATTATGACACTTTTATGACACTTATTTTCTTGTCTGCTTAGTCTCGTTATTAATCCGGGGTTGCCACAGCGGAATGAACCGCCAATTTATCCAGCACATTTTTACGCAGCGGATGCCCTTCCAGCCGCAACCCATCTTTGGGAAACATCCACACACACATTCACACACACACACACTCATACACTACGGACAATTTAGCCTACCCAATTCACCTTTACTGCATGTCTTTGGACTGTGGGGGAAACTGGAGCACCTGGAGGAAATCCATGCGAATGCAGGGAGAATATGCAAACTCCTTATGAATACATATTTGATTTATATTTGTAATATTAATTATTATTTGGACTCTGATATTTTTTTCTATGGCCCACCTTTAAAGCAATCCTAAAGTGTTTACAAATTTGCAACATAGGCTTATGCTAAAAACGTAGCCCTATATACATTTCTGGAGATCGCGAATTATGTAGCCAGAGGAACGTATGGCTGCATTTTGTCTTTTAAACGAATGCTACATGGTGGTATAATGCCTTTCCTTTTTGCATTTACAAGCTGACCACTTACCTCTGTTTGAATGTCTTTTCTGCTCATTGTCCAGTGGCTTGCCGCGCATGATTTGAGACGCAGTGCGGAGTTGACCATGATGACGGGGTTTGAGACCGGCAAAGAATGGTTTCAGCAAGCAGGATAAAAACTAAAGCCAAAAAATAAAACAAACAAGTAAATAACAGGGTATGAATGTGGTAAAATCTAAAATACGTGGTGGAAATCAGGCTGTTTTTTTTTCTTGATTGCTTATTAAAACTCTGTCGGTTGGGTTCAGGGAAGGGGGTGGGCGCTGGTTAATCAGTGCTTTTTAAAACACTATTGGTTGGGTTTAGGAAAGGGAGTGGGTGGGGATTGGTTGGCAGGGCAATCAGTCAGTAAGTCAGTCAACAGCGGCCTCTGGTGGATTCTAGATTGAAAAGCAGGCATGAATGGCACTCGCCTGAGAAATTTGCAACAGGCTCATTCTGAAAACGCAGCCCTATATACATTTCTGGAGATCACAAATTATGAAGCCAGAAGTATGTATGGCTGCATTTTGTCTTTAAAACAAACACTACGGGGCAGTATGACGCCGTTCCTTTTCTCGCTTACCAGCTTTCGCGCTGTTACCAGTTTGTCCAGTAGCTTGCCATGTACATCAGCAGACTTGAGATGTAGAGAGGAGTTGACCACGACAATGGGATTTGGGTCCCACAAAGAACAGTTCCAGAAAGCAGGTTAAAAAAGAAGCCAATTTGTTTTGCCAATCTGAGAATGCGGTAAAATCTGAAAATGTGTTCAAAATCGGGGCGAGGACTTTTCTTAGTCAGGTAGTGGTTGGACGCTGGTTGATCGGTGCATTTTAAAACACTATCGGTTGGGTTTAGGGAAGAAGGAGTCAACCCGTCAATGATTAAGTCAGTCAGTCAACAGCAGCCTCTGGTGGATTTACGTGAGAATAGCAAATGCGAATGGCACTCGCGAGAGAAATTTGAGATCCCCAAAAGCATACACAGCACCCTCTGGCTAATTTGTGAAAACAAAAACTGCAAAAAAACGTAGCTCCTGGGGTGTTTTGGTGCTCTCCAGAAGTGTATATAGGGGTACGTAATCAGAATGAGCCTATAGCCGCGCAAAGTTTTTAAAAATCAGACAGATCTGTCTCTGTCAGAAAGAGATGCATAAATGAGAACACTAGTGAGCAGTTTATGAAGGCCATATCGCTGGCACCAAGTATATCTGCAGACTCTGTTGATTCTCTCCTTGATTTGTTTAATTCTAAAATTGAAAATGTAATAAATGACATCGCTCCTGTTAAAGTTAGGAAGAGAACTGGCAAAGAGAGAGTCCCTTGGAGAAACTCAAGAGCAGTCCAAATGATGAAAAGACAATGCAGGAAAGCTGAGCGTATGTGGAGAAAGACGAAACTAGTAGTCCATTATAATATCTATAAAGACAGTCTTCAGGCTTTTAATGTGGAACTAAAAACTGCTAGACAGACTTTCTTTTCAAACCTTATAAACAACAATGTAAATAATGCTCGCACACTCTTTGCAACAGTAGAGAGGCTCACAAACCCCCCCCAGTCGGATTCCCAGTGAGCTACTCTCTGTAAGCAAATGTAATGAATTTGCTCATTTCTTTACTGATAAGATCAATAATATCAAAAAGGCAATCAGCTCATCCAATCAGCCAAGTTGTGTCGATATCAAACAAGCTCAACCACAACTTGAGAAGTCAGACATTATGTCTGATTTCATGGCAATTAACGGTAAAATCTTAGAAGAGATGGTGCAAATGATAAAAACATCAACCTGCAGTCTTGACACGCTCCCCACATCATTCTTCAAAACGGTGTTTACCTGTTTAGAAATGGATCTTCTAAAAGTGGTAAATGATTCACTTCTCTCAGGGATTTTTCCAAACTCACTTAAAACTGCAGTTGTTAAACCCCTCTTGAAGAAGAGCAACCTGGATAACACCCTATTGAGCAATTACAGGCCAATCTCAAATCTCCCTTTCATTAGCAAAATCATTGAAAAAGTTGTTTTCAACCAGGTTAACAAGTTCTTAAACTTCAAGGGGTGTTTAGACAATTTTCAATCTGGTTTCAGAGCACATCACAGTACAGAGAGCGCTCTTATAAAGATAATCAATGATATACGTCTAAACACAGATTCAGGTAAAATAACAGTGTTGGTATTGCTCGATCTCAGTGCTGCATTTGACACTGTCGATCACAGCATACTTCTGGATAGGCTGGAAAACTGGGTTGGGCTGTCTGGGACAGTCCTCAAATGGTTCAGATCTTACCTTGAAGGGAGAGGTTACTATGTCAGTATAGGTGATCATAGGTCGAGGTGGACACCCATGACATGTGGAGTCCCACAAGGCTAGATTCTGGCACCTCTCCTGTTCAACCTTTACATGCTCCCTCTGAGCCAAATAATGAGAAAGAATCAAATCTCCTACCACAGCTATGCTGATGACACTCAGATCTACCTAGCCTTACTGCCTAATGACTACAGCCCCATTGACACCCTCTGCCAATGTATTGATGAAATTAAAAATTGGATGTGCCAAAACTTTCTTCAGTTAAACAAAGAGAAAACTGAAGTCATTGCATTTGGGAACAGAGATGAGGTTCTCAAGGTGAATGCGTACCTAGGCTCTAAAGGTCAAACGACAAAAATTAAGGTCAAGAATCTTGGTGTGACGCTGGAGTCAGATCTGAGTTTCAACAGTCATGTCAAAGCAGTCAGTAAATCAGCATACTATCATCTCAAAAAACATAGCAAGAATCAGATGCTTTGTTTCTAGTGAATATTTAGAGAAACTTGTTCATGCTTTTATCAGTAGCAGGGTGGATTACTGTAATGGACTCCTCACTGGCCTTCCCAAAAAGACAGTCAGACACTTGCAGCTCATCCAGAATGCTGCAGCCAGAATTCTGACCAGAAGCAGGAAATCAGAGCACATCACACCTGTCCTCAGGTCTCTACACTGGCTGCCAGTTACATTCAGAATAGATTTTAAAGTATTATTACTGGTCTATAAATCACTAAATGGTCTAGGACCTCAATACATTACAGATATGCTCACTGAATACAAACCTAACAGATCACTCAGATCTTTAGGATCATATAAACTAGAAGTTCCAAGAGTTCAGTCTAAGCAGGGTGAATCTGCCTTCAGCCACTATGCCCCTTGCTGCTGGAATCAGCTTCCAGAAATGATCAGATGTGCTCTAACATTAGGCACATTCAAATCAAGACTGAAAACACATCTGTTTAGCTGTGCCTTTACTGAATGAGCACTGTGCTGCGTCCGACAGATCGCACTATTATGTTTTTCGTTTTCTTTTTCATTCTTTTATAACCTATTTTAACTCATTTTAATTTGTTTTTATCTGTTTTTAATAATTTTTATTGTCTGCATTTTATTTTCCTAAACTTGTCTTTTTTATTCCTGTTTATGTAAAGCACTTTGAATTGCCACTGTGTATGAAATGTGCTATATAAATAAACTTGCAAAAAAAAAAAAATAATACCTTACACTATTGCAAACCTGCATGACTATAGAAAAATGCTAATGCTAGAAAACAAGATTTTCCCTTACAATATTGTCTAAAATAACAGTGGAACAACATTAAGGTTAGTAAGTTAAGAGCTTTTTTCTTTATTTTTGATTTTTGATGAACCATAGTGATAAAGCAATCAACTTTTTCCTGTACACGGGGAGCTCATTTTCCTGCAGTTTATTTCTGACTGTAATTAAATGTACGTAAATCAAATTACCAAGGTAACAAGGTTTACCTGAAAATTACTGCCAGGTGTAAAAATAAATTTTGCAGGAAGTTGACTTTCCAGGAATAGAAATGAGTAGCCATGAGCTAGAGGAAAATGGCTGTAAAACGGAGTTTTAATAGTCTCATACTGATGAACTTTTTAAATAACATACTTATACTGTTTTACAATTAATACAGTTTCATTTCGATAATAATTTAATATAATCAATATAATTTTTCACCTGACAAAATGAAAAGCTCCCACATAAATTTATCAAATGATTAGCCCGAATGGATGTCAATGCTCACTTTATTATTGAAAACTTAATTTAATAAGACACAAAGATAAACACAGCATCTAAGTTGTCTGATCATCTAAGTGTCCACAGACAGACACACAAAACAAACACTTGCTTTTTATCTTGCACTATGTTTTCCATACGACAAGATAGTGTTCTTAGGGGGCATCATATACTCCTGTATGACAACATCCTGTGCTCTTCTCAGCCGCTGTTGCCAAGAGACATTGTTTGATGAGCCTCAGCGCTGCAGATTATGCTCTGAATTGATTAAATTTCCGCTGTTTCGAGGCACTGCACCCTTCACATACTTTAATTATGCATTCAGAATATCTAGAGAGGAGGTGAAGGGACTTTGCAGATACTTTTTCTGAAACCGGAGACGCAAAATGCTGCGGATCATAATTTT